AATATATATATATATGTATATGTATAAATGAGTCACTATACTGTACACCAGAAATTAACACAACATTGTAATCGACTATACGTCAATTAAAAAAAGAATTAAAAAATAAAAAAAGAAACAGGACAGTTTAAATCCCCAGTGGCTACCTGACCTCCCTCGCCTCCAACATGTGGCACATCCCTGGTTTGTGCTGTGAACACTGGATGGGTGAGCAATTCCACCTTCGTACAACTCTTAACTGGCTGGAAATTGTCTGCTTTCTAACATACCTCCTTTCCCCTCCAAGTTACTTCATAAAGTCCATTCTTGCTACCAAAGAACAGTGAAACAAGTCTTTCACTACAAGCAGGTGGGGTCACCATGAATTTTACTTGTTCGCTGTGCAGTCCATAGCCAACCTCCACTGCCTGCAGGTTGCAGGCTGTAGCCATCCAATTTCTGATGCAGTTCAGCGTGAAAAACATGGAAGCAGAGAAATTCTAGGTTAGGGACTCTTCATCCACACTCCGGGGGACGGCAGAATGACTCCCGTCCCATGTCATAGCATCCCAGACACCCTGCCCTTTGATACTTCCCACGCCCCCAGTCTTTGCATGGGTGGAAAGAAGGCTCACTGCAGCCACTTCAGAGGTAGATAGCTATGCTCCCACACCCACTCAAGGGTTCTCTTAAGCTGCGTTGTGATGCAAAACAGCAGCCTTCAAAGCAGTGCTGACATGAGTGTCGGGCACACACTGATGCCTAAGGACTAGGGCTGGTTGTGCACAGAATCAGCGCTAGCAGCGCCAGACAAAAGGTGACTCCTCTCTGCACCACGAAACCTTTCTCCTTAGTGATGGAGTATTTTCCCATCAATATGGTCTTATAAAAATGTTATATGTTTCTTCTCCCTTTTTGATATAAGGTAAGTAGAAAAAGTAAAAAAAAGAAAAAAAAGAAAAAAGAAATATAATATGGAAACAATTGATAATATTCTAATTAGTTCTTTGAATGTCTGAATCTTGTGAGCATATAAATACAATCCTATACCGAGGGCAGGAATTGTGTCTTATTTATTTCTCCAATCCCCGCATTTCCTAGCAGAGATTTACACTCAGTAGGCACTCAGAAATAGCTAAAACAGTTTATCCCAATTACTTGCTTGGGAAAAAAAGTAGAAAAGTCATTGTTCAAAGGAATGGACTCTCACCAGTTTCAAATGAGACCTCTCCTTGGATAAAATTGGGATATTTTATAAAATCTTGTAGGATCATTAGTTCCTTGGAAATATAATATTCCATTTAGGATTTTAAGTAGGAATTTAGTAAAAGTGACTTTGTCCCTTAAATACAGAAACTACCCAAACTATCCTACAACTCTATAATCCTTCTTAGAGCTAAAAAATGTCATGAAACTCTCTTAAATCCATGATTACTTAGAAATAATTAGAGAAAAAAAACTACACGTGTGTAAACACTGAATAATCTCAAATACACTTATATGAGAATGTGAAAGGTATTTCCAATGACTATTAAAGAGTATCTTTGACTTAGATATTCATGCTACTTCAAGTGCAATCTGGGACCATGGTATTTTAGGCTGGCAAATACCATGGAGGTCTGCTAAAAAGCCCTTTCCTTCCTCATCTAATAAACAAGGGAATTGAAACCCGGGGAGGTGAAGTAACACGACCTAACTAGGCATAGCATGTTACTGTCAAATTCAGGACTAGAACCCAGTTTCCCAGTTCCCAGACCAATACCTCAAGTAGCTTCTCTTCAGAGCAGATATTTCCACTTTTCCAGACTAAATCAGCCCCACCCCTGTGGACCAGGTAGCCTCTCCCAATGGATCAGAGAATCAGCCTCATTAGAAACAAGGTTGTTTGTTTCTTGAAAACATATTGTTTTGCATCAGCTTTTCCTCGGGCTTTGGCATTAAGAATTTTTTCCCTAATGGAGATATTGTTTGTGCTGACAAAAATACTTCAAGCGCTAAGCAGTCACACAGTCGCACCTTGAGCAAGACATTGAAAGGAAGTGTTGTCTGATAACTACATGTGGACAAGGAGCAGGGTAATAGATTTAATAGTAATTAGTCCTCCAAGAATCTCACTTGAAACTCATCAGCCTTTTCATCTATTATTCAGAGAACTTTTACAGGGTTAGCTAACATCACTTACAGGACATATCCCTTAACAGTCTAAACATCATGAAATTTCTCAAACAGGCAATTCTGGTGAAGGAACAATCCAATTCTGTAATTAACCAAATCAGATTTTCCTGAAATACAGAACAAAGAAGATATGGAAGAAGGAAAACAAAACAAGCATTTGGTCCAAGACCTAGGCACCAGACCTAGACAACCTTAATGATGGTTCCCTTGATGGCAGCTTTATTAGGGCAGTTAACTTATAAAGAATGTTAAGTTGGTGCTTAATGGGACCAACTTGACATTGGGTGTCAAGTACCGTTTAGAAAGGCTTTGTTTATTTTATTTGTATGTGTATTTGTTTTGTTTATTTTTGCCACATAAGTATTTTTTTGGCAAGTTTTATCAGAATAAAGAGATTCCTAAAATAATCTAGCACCCACTCCTTAGTGGAGAAAAAAACATTTTTCTTAAATTATAGTGTCTCCTGGCAAGAAAGAGGATAGGTCTATTTCTTCAGGGATATTTTCCAGTTCTTCAGGCTGTAAGAACTCAACAAACAGATGGAGGGAAAAGAAAAGCACATGCCAGAAGCCGTCCCTGGGTCACACTGGGTCCGCACTGACTGCCTTGGAGTCCCTTTCTGTCCGGGAAAGGAGGAGGGCGAGGCTGGCTGATGCAGGGGACAGGTCTGCTCTGTGTCTGGGCACTTACTGTCAGCTGGGGCAGGACTCCAGGAGTCAGCTGTTGATCAGCCACAGGGCTCTCGGGAAAGCTCACCCCTGAAGGATGGGCCCTGTGGGAACAGAACGTCATTAGCTCGGCCATCTGAGTTCTGCTTCTTATTACAACTCCTTTTAGCAGGAGAGACATTTCCTAGCGGTCGGGCATGTTCAGATTTATTGCTTTATTTGCTGGGTATTGAATTAAGGAGAAAAATCCACCACAAGAATTCCTTAGCAACGCTGAAAGGTCGTTTGTCTCATCAAATTCTGTCCTTTCATTGCACTCGTTCTATCTAGAATTTCTCTAATGGTTACTTAATAATTCTAGCATTTGGTCTCAGCAGCCTTCTCTGCATGAAACACCTGTTTTGGCAAAGTTCAAAAAGCTTCTGTACTCACTAAAAATGATCTGTTATGGGGTGTGCATTTCTGATAATTCCAGTGTTTTCATTTCTGTCGTCAGCATACCCACATTCAAACATGCACACACTTTAAAGTAGCTAGATCCTCAAGGACTGTTTTGAAGAAACTCATCCACAGATCTACATAATTGGTATTGAAACAGAAGAATTCTTTTTCAATAATATGGGATATACAACATTATTGACATCACGTTTTTCCGAAAGGATAATGTTTATTTTGGTAACTATCCATGATAATGGAAAGTACTATGATTACTATCCATATAAGGCTACATTAATTTAAAAATGTGGTTCTAAGCAATAGTCAATGTTTCAGCTGCATAATAGACTATATGTATTCAGACAAATTTCTTAATGTTCACTTAATTTCTAGAAACTCCAGTACATATAAGATATTCTTATTCTTATTATTAATATGCCTAGTTTGACTTTTTGACTCTAATATACCTCTCATGATTTAATGATTTATGACTATAAACACATTCTAACTCAGTTTGAGATACTGTGGTCAGTTCTGTATTGTACAGGATGCAGGTCCCATTGGGAATTACCATGGCACAAAGTTACCAGATGAACAAGATGAATGGACTTTCAGGCAGAGGTCCTCCTCTGGCCCCTACCAATGCACTGGCACCCTGTGAGGGCCCTTGACCAGTTGCCACCAGCCCAATAAACTGCAGGTGCCAGTATGTGGCACAAATATTTGGCAACGTCTCAAACGAAAGGCAGCAAAGCCCGGTGGAAGATGGCTTTGGAGTCAGACAAATTGGGTTTAAATCCCGCTCTGACACTTAATCTGTGAAGTGTCATAACCTTGGGAAGGTTATTTTATAGTTCTCTGACTTCCAGAGATAAAATTAATCCTGAAGAGTTATAGTTGCGTCGAAGGTGGTTGGCCGTACCGAGCAGTGGTTAAAGGCACAGCTTTCTAAGTGTCAGTCCTGCTCCACCATTTTTCTAGTTGCTCAACGCTGGGCAAGCTGATGTGAATCGCACTATACCTTTGCTTCTTCACCTGCAACATGGGGGTAATCACTGTAGTTCTCAGAGGGGTCTGGAAGGACTAAATTTTAAAAATAAATGAAAACCATCTTTCGGAATACTCCACACATAGTGAGCACTGAGTATTAGCTATTTATTTCTACCAAGTGGATCTCAAGTTCCTAGCATTAGGAGGTATGCAATACCCTAAGCTCAAGGTCTATTTCATCCGTGCTCCAGTCCTTGGTTTCTTTTCTCTGTGTTCTAATACCACTGGGGCCACAATTATAAGGATGAGAGTTAACTGCAGAGCTAGTGAAAGGAACTCATATTCATAAAATGTCCTAGAAAATATACTCTGTTGTTCAACTTTGTAGGTCTTATTTTTAATACACCTTTCAAATAACTAATCCTAAAGCCAGATATTTTGAAGAAAAAGCAAACTTCACTTATCCTCTCTGCTGAAGTATCTGTTTATTTTTTAGTGAAACAGTTGCAGCTGACGTAAACACTTAGCAATCAGGATACTTTTGAAATGTTTTCCTGTTTTCATTAAATATTGTTGATATTTCCAAAGGGAAATGCTTTATGCCTTCAGCATTACTTTTAGAATTAGAATAATACATATTTATGACATAATATGCCACTTTTGAAACTTTTTTGCATTTAAGTTTCTAAAAAAATGATATTTACATAAATTTTCCTCAAGCATTTGTGTAACTCTCTCAAGTACACTCTGATGATTTTACACATACATATTCCTTTCATCGTCTAATAGCAGATTTGTTTATCTCCTCATTCAATCAGAATATTTGAGATGAATACTGAAATAATTATTGGCTTTTAAAAAATCATGTAATCACAGCTGGGTATGGATGTAAATGATATACATATTTCATCAGTTTTAAAAGGTACTCATTCTTTATACCAAATTCATATAGATGGATTTTTAAATTACTTTTGATATATAGTTTAGTATTTATAAATAAAGGTGGCTTAACCCTACTATCATCTAAAGAAAGTTTACTGTCAATTTCTAAACTTTGGAAATATAGAGGACATTTCTATTTACCATTGGTGCATAATTTATGTGTATGTTATCTGTGTATATATGTACATATATGTCAATATAATACATATAAATATATAGTATTACATATTGAGTCAGCAGCAGTATATGCTATTTATTTATTTGTTTATTTTTCTAATGGAGGTACTGGGGATTGAACCCAGGACCTCATCCTGCTAAGCACACACTCTACCACTTGAGCTATACCCTCCCCCGACCAGTATATGCTATTAATGCAATCAAATTACCATCTGGACATCCTCTAATCATTTTTTTCCACCCTCTCCCTTCTACTGCCATCACTACTGGTCATGATTACTGTACCATCCATACTCATTCAACAATCATGATGGAAGATACCAAGGAATTCTGTGTTTCTGTGCTCTGCACTCCTTCTCTGGTCTCTCCATCTTCCCCTAGCCTCCATCCCTATCCCAACACATCCACATGGACCACGCATGCAAATGCAAACACACACACACACACACACACACACGATACTTCAAGTCCATGCCTACAATGAAAGCTGCCTTAACCATGTTTAAAGCTTGTATATTATTTTCTATTGCATCTGTACATAGGCAAGATATACATATATAGTAAAAGAATACACATTAATTTGTATATACATCTATATCTTTCAGTATACCACACAAAAGTATGTAATTACATAGATGACTACACACAATTTTGTTCCCTAGTTTTTGGTGTAAGAGTGATTTTCCTTTTAGCTGTTAATAAGGTGCATAGAGGAAGCTAACTAAATACTTTTCTCCTAGTGACTCCACAACCTGGGAGCCAAATGGTGACTTTTTGTGCATGGTATTTCTAGGCTGTAACTCCAAGGAGATGAGAGCCGCACATAGGGGAATGGCACTCTCCTGGGCGTTTCTTTATATGTGCAGCTGCAGCCTCCGTAGATGTTAGGTTTGAATGATTTTCTACACTGCACTAAGATTATGTCAAAAGGAGCCAGAGTTAATAAACACAGACCATGAGAAAGTAGGTCTTTTTTCAAACATAAGTGCAAAGACCCCTGTATCGCAAGTTCCTGGTGCAGTACCCAGCACATAGTGGGCATTCAAAATATAGAGATTACACAACAAACTGAATGAATGAATATAGTATAATCTTGGTTCAAGTGAAAATGAGAAGAAAACTGGGGTCGAGGAAATTTCTTTTCACTTCCAGGGATGCATCACTGTGTATTCTGAAGGCAAAGACGAGAAGCTGGTGCACTGGAACACACGGGCTGTTTCCCAATCACGCAAAAAGAAACTTGACAAGTTTTCCATTAGAGAATCAGAGTCATGATCTGGTTACAGAACCCCAGACGTGGACCGAGATCAAACAAAGTTGAAGAGAGGCCACGTAGTCTAAACATACTCATATTTCTTAATCAATACACTTGTGAACCAAGGAAAACTTTATTCTTGCCATGTGGCCTCAGTCCACCTATGAAGAAAGCTCCAGACTCAACAGAAAATGTGTAAAAAACAGTCTCATAATGACAGTCTGGTATTATCTATGGTCTGCTGATCATGGTGCAGCTACCCTGTGTTAATGATTGCTTACGGTAAATGACGTACTGAAGTCCAATAAAAACATCTTCCATGTGTAGAGTCAACATTCTACACACTCCCTAAATTTAACACCAGTACTGAAAACAAAAAGGAGTCTTGGCCATTGCAACCTTTAAAGAAAATGTCATCAGCAATCTAATTTCTTCACATTTTCTGGAAGTGGGTGGCCACCTTAGGAATAGCCCTACAGAGGATGCTTAGTGTACAATGGATCAGGCTCTTCTCCAGAAAAGAGGAACCCAGCTGACCTTCCTGATCTCCCCTGACTCAGCATTTGCTTCCCTGGATGCATCTGCATACATTCCATGCAGCCTAATTCTTTGTAACTTAGTAATAAAAACATGGCAAGATGGGATGCATATCATGTTTCATGCATTTTAATGTCCTAATATTTGTTAACTTGGAATGAAATATAAAATATATCCAATTTGAGCAGCCTACCAAGCTGACTGCCTGGCCATCTGTTCATTTCTAGCTTTTATACTTCTCAGCCATTTCACTTCTGCTTTTAATTGTAACTGCCACTCTGATGGCACAAATCCTGAGGCCCTTTTGAATGCCACTTGCAGCCCTCCTTCTGACCCCTGGCTCATCTAAAGTGATGGCTTAATCTCAATTGCTTTTAAATTTACGTTTATACTCAAGAAATGTTTTATTGAACAATGCAGTTCCATTTAAAAAATTTTTTTTATTTCTTGTTTAATTCTTCACATTGGCTAACCAGGTCCAGAGTCTGGTCCCCAGGACTCTATAATTTCTCTCATGTCTGACTCTCTCTCCTCCATCACAGCTGAAGATTTCAGTCTCTCTAGTCTATTGCACGCTATGATTTTGCTTTCACATTGCCACCTACTCTGCTTGATTAAATAATTTGTTGACACACTCAGATCTCTGTTTACTCTAGCCCAGGCATTCCAGCCAAGATAATTATATCTAGGGCTTCAGGATCTGCCTGTGGTAAAATGTTGAAGTGGGGAAAATGTGTCTTTGAACTTCCTCCCAGATGACTTATCAAC